AAAATAAAAAATGAAAAAAGACATATATGACATGCAGTAATCAGAGTAGGCTTCATGGAGGAGTTGGCACTTGACATAAATTTCAAGGCCACTAGTATATGCCTTCTTGCAAGGAAGAAGACATTCCTAGCAAGTAGAAGCCATACAAACAGAGGCAGAGAGAGAAATACACATGATGGTCAATCTAAACTTTGTAAAGATTTCATGATCAAAAGCAGTGCCAATTAAGCATCTTTTACAGATTCTTTCTTTCCTACAGAATTTTTATTTGATTCTCAAATATATGTGACTATCAAATATCTTAATCAACATACGACTTTTGCTATCAGACAATTTCAAAATAATTCAACAAATACTTGTAATATGTTGTATAAATTTCAATGACCAACACTATGCCAGGCATTAAAATATATAGAAATAAATAACTCATTGTCTCATCCTTGAATATTTTGTTGCTTTGTTGGTGAGAAAATGTACATACAAATAAGATTCAAGGTAGTCATCAAACCAAGGCCACTCAAACATTCCCCAAGTTATGAAACTCCCTACATATAAATCACCAAGTACATAAAGACTTTCATTTTGGTTACTTCCACCTCCGACAACACTCTCTCAAACATTTAATGCATCCTTTTGGGAGTGTATCTTATTTCTCCTCTTTCTTCTAATACTTGTCAGGTTATTGAAAGGAAAGAACACAAACTCTCTCATGTTCCCTCTCTCTTTGAACAAAGAATCCCTGGATGCCTCCCATACAAATAGTGCTAGCAACCATTTTGTATTGAGGAAAGGAAGGGTACTATGTTTAAAAATGAAGGAAAAAAAGATGTTGAAATGGGGACCTCAGCTTCTAAAGCTTTTGAAAATTTCTCTAAAACTTTACAAATGCTTCCTCCAAAATGTCTATTTAATATAAAATATTTAAAATATCAAATTAGGGCAGCCTAGGTGGCTCAGTGGTTTAGCGCCTGCCTTCGGCCCAGGGCATGATCCTGGAGTCCCGGGATCGAGTCCCACATCAGGCTCCCTGCATGGAGCCTGCTTCTCCCTCTGCCTGTGCCTCTGCCTTTCTGTGTGTGTGTGTGTGTGTGTATGTGTCTCATGAATAAATAAATAAAATATTTTTAAAAAAATAAAAAAATACAAATTATATCTTATTTACTTATAAATGTTACAAAAACATTTTCTATTTTTTATTTTTCTTTGCCAATGTAACCTACTTAAACAATAGAATTGACTCGGGATCCCTGGGTGGCGCAGCGGTTTGGCGCCTGCCTTTTGCCCAGGGCGTGATCCTGGAGACCCGGGATCGAATCCCACGTCAGGCTCCCGGTGCATGGAGCCTGCTTCTCCCTCTGCCTGTGTCTCTGCCTCTCTCTCTCTCTGTATGACTATCGTAAATAAAAAAAAAAATAGAATTGACTGAACATTCTGAATTTCAAATGAACAACCTTCATACAAATTTTGTAATGTAATGCATTTATAGGATGACGATATATCATATAACATATAATTCAAAATGAATAGAATAAACTATGCCTATTGTATGAATCAAAATAAAGACAGAGGAATGACAAAGAGACAGTCATAAACTTAGGAAAACCTTTTGCATGGAAGGTAAAACTTGAACTTGACTCTAGGCTGATGTGGTAGGGGGAAGCTGGAAGGATATCTCAAGTTGGGAAAAGAATGTGGACAGAGCTGTATTTGGTCGAAATGGAGACTTTTTAATAGAAGAGTAAAAGATATTGTCAAATCAGAATTGGACCAATTTGTAGGTGTGTCATGTGACAAAAATGACCGATGTCACAGGAAGGAATTTCATGGATTTTCTTCCAGAAATAATGGAGACCTGTGAAAATTTGGAAGGACTGTAATGGATTTGACAGAGTAGTTTCAGAAAATTGCCCATCTCTGGTAATGTTCAAGGAATTAGAAAGCAAAGGACTAGATAGGAGGCCATTTATAACCACATGCTTGTGAGATGCCAGAGACCTGGACACATGTCGTGGGAATGTCAGACAAGGGTAGCTCTGACAAATTCTCAAACAGAATGAAACATAGTCTTGATGTGATAAAGGGGGTGAAGGAAATAGTACCTTAGAAATGATAGTGAGGTTTCAGATTCAGTGACTGGGAGAATGCAAAATTAAAATATACCTAATGGTAGAAACAGGGAGGTCAGAAGAGAAAAAAAAAATGGATGGAGGGGCACCTGGCTGGCTTAATCAGTAGACCATGCAACTCTTGATTTTGGGGCCATGAGTTCAAGCCCCACATACAGCATAGAGCTTACTTTAAATAAATAAATTTAAAATAAAGAGAAAAATTGGATGTATGAGAGGACATGGGGTTCAATGCTGTCAATAGAAAACTAATATGCACCACATATGTCATTTTAAATTGTCTAACAGCCATATTCAGAACACTAAAAATAAACAGATGAAATTGCATTTAACAATATTTTATTTGCCCTAATTTTTAAAAAATACTATCATTTCAATGTATAATAAATATAAAAATATTGATGATATGATTTACCTTCTTTTCCTCACACTAAGTCTTTGGATTCCAGTATGTACTAAATACTTAAAGCACATCCTAATATAACTAACCACATTTCAAGTGCTCAGTAGGGACTATGGCTGTGGCTATCACATTGGACAGTGTATTGTTGGCCAGTTTAATAGAACTAACAAAGATTATGTAGCAAATGCCTCAATTAAGCTGGTACTAAGATTGACTGTATTTTGGAAATTATAATTCTGTTTATCCTTTCTCCTCCTCTATTCCTTTTGTTTATTTTAGCTACTTCATATTCAACATGTTATTTTAACAGAACATCATTCTTTCCCCACAGCACCAAGAATTTTAGAAATATCTATGATAGATTGTTTCATTGCTCTCTCCAATTCTCCATTTGACTTACAACTTTAATTAAACAAGTCAGTCTGAATCTTCTTTTACTTCTCCCTTTGTCAGTCTTAAAACTCTTGATTATGAAATAATTTAGCAATATGTCCTCAAAAACCTTGGATAAATGACACTTAGTACTTTGGAAATGAAACTACATTTTTCATGTTCCCCTGTCGGCATATGTGTATTTCTCCAGCATTTAATGTCTGACGTAAACTTGCTGGATTTTTGGTATTCACTATATGCTAAAGAACTCAGTATGAAAGGGAGCCTACTTCTATAGAAAACACGCCAAGGACATTGTGTTCCATCTTTACAATGAAATGCAGATTTCCCATTAAAAGGCGAATCCATCATTTCAAAAGGTTGAAGAGGATGGTGCATTAAAAAAATCCAGCTGCTTAAATTTAGGGCATTGAAAAACATCCAATAAAAAAAATGTTCCTGGGTTTCAAGCATTTTCATTTGATTATGTATTGGATAGTTTTTCATTCAATCTGTGATCTTGCCTCTTAGAATTCTGTCCTAAAATAGTCTGACAAGTGACTCAACTGTGATACTTTATTAACTTAAATTGCATATTTTGTTATTTAGAATACACTTGTGTTTCGTAATATATTATTAATTTTTGTACAAGAAATGTTTGAATTTTCTTACCATGCTTTTCTTTTTCATGTTTATTCTTAGGCTTCTCTCACTCCTATTTAGTTTCTTTTATGTTTTTTTGAGCTTCTTTGAAGACATTGTCTGCCAGGACAGCAATTTTGTTCTCCAACCAACTTCCTTCAACTGATTTAGTCCTCTGTTTCTCTCTGCCTCACTGTTCTTATGTGTTCTGCCCAACTTTTCTCTAATTAATTTAGTAGTAAGAAGTGTTAAAGCCAGTGATTCCCTGAGCAATAACCCTCTGTAGGGTCTGCAGACAACATGGCCCCCAGAAACTGGCTAGGGTGTGCACACATGTACACACACACACACACACACACACACACACACAGTTCTTCTCCACACTACTGAGCCTAGTGCTCTGGGAACAAAAAAGCTTATGTCAAACATGTCTGTACAGCGCATGCATTTTTTGACAGGAAATACGGTAATAGTTGTTTATTAAAAGTCATGTGTAAGTCTCCATGCTTAATGGAGTCTAGTCCTGCTTTTTCTCAGGACCAGCACTAGAAATATGGGCTGGGACTCTATACACAGGGCTACTGTTGAACAAGGCCTGTGTAAAATGCCCCTATAATAGATATTGACTAGGTATTTTAAGCTGAAAGTTTGATTCTCTCCTATTAGACTGATTGTTAGGCATTTATACATATGATAATATTGGCCCTGGGCCAATCCCTAATAGTAAATGTTTCTCATAATTCTTTGGCATCCAGTATGTTTCATGAAGACCGGTTTAGTCTCATTTGCATACCTTCCTCTCCAGTGTCCATGTTCTTCCAAAAGAATTATTAATTTTAAAAGAGAATTTATTCTAGTTACTCAGTCTACTTCTAATGGGTTCTTTTTTTTCTCTCAACAATGGAATCACTTTTTTTCTGGACTCACATTTTATTCTAAGAAGTATTTTGCTGTGCTTTCTCCTGGTTTATAGGGGGTTTTTCATACTGGGGTCCTGTGCTTCCAGTTTCCTGCCAGCACTGGCTATCAAAACTGCTTAGGCTGCAAATAAAATATGAAATGAAATCCATCTGGCGTTTCTCATTGAATTAGGACCAGAACATTTTTGTTAAATATTAACAGATGGCTAAATTCTTAATATCAAACTAACATTTTAAAACATCTAAGGGGCCCACATGAGGAAGAAAGGATAGAAGACCATGTGTTCTCTCTATCGCTGAGCCCGTCCTTCTCCACACTTTTCCTCCACTCATCCTCTCGACCCATGTGTTGAGAATCACTGGAGTCTCTTTTCTCAGACAGCTCTTATTCCTTGGTAGCTGGTGTCAAAATAGTGCATGATGGTATCGAAATATTGTAATCAAATGTTGGCTAACTCAGGTGATGTGTTGCCATTGGCAGGCTTCAAAATCTTTTATTAAAGCCAATTTTCTCTCCCTCTCTATCTCTCTCAATAGGAAAAAGAAAAGAAGTATATGCTCCCCTTGGACAACCTGAAAGTTCGAGATGTGGAAAAGAGCTTTATGTCTAGCAAGCACATCTTTGCACTTTTTAATACAGAACAAAGGTAAGAATATGAAGCAGCTTCTGTCTTCAGATTTTTTTTTTGCTTGAAATTTATGTGATCTAGAGACCATATTTATAAGAGTTCCTTTGGTGCCATCTTGAAATTTGTTAACTCTATAGTTTTCCTTTCATTTGGCTTGTATGTTTAACTTTCACCATACGTTATGGATTGAAAAGATTCGAACTTAGAATAAGAATGATCTTCAAGCATTAATTAGTTTATTCCCTGCTCTTCCATCAGGCACTCAAATCATGTTGCTTTCACTCTTGAAGTGCATTTTATTAATTTAAAGTCTTCCATGCCCTGAATTTATTGTGTACATACTTATAAATTACTGTTATTATTTTTGATAGTATCTGTCCAGCATGGGTGGATACTACTCAAGACCTTCTTAAAAAAAAATAAAGACCTTCTTATGTATATTAGGATGGCATTTTTACATTGGTGAATAGAATTATTCCCCTTAATGTGAATACAAATATGTAGTACTTCACAGTTTTTCAAAGCACTATGCACAGTCATTTTTTAAACAGTCTCCCATGAAGCCAAAAGATAGAGTAGTGTGGTGACCATTTTAAAAATCAGAACTGTGGCTCAGAGAGGTTAACTGACTTTCTTAAGATTATAAAATTAGTGCATAAGAAAGCTTAAAACTGAAGCAGGACTTCTGTGTTTAAGTCCACTTTTCCTTCCACTTATGTTGCTTGTCTTGTTTTATTGCTGTTGTTTGTTTGTTTATTTGTTTTACTACCCATCACCTACAACATCAAAACTTAATTTGGGGCTGATTATCATGGAGTGCCATGGTTACTTACTGAAGCCAAGGAGGAAAATTAAATAAACAAATGGAGAGGTGGCAGAGGGTGGAATAGAGAGATGTCAAAGGGCTATAATGAGGCGAACATAACAAGGAGATCTTTTCCAAATGGAAATGTTCTAGGAAAAAGCTAATTAATTTCTGTGAGTCAGTTATTAAGAGATTGAGTCATTAGGTGGCAGGGTCTAATTTTAACCCATCTCTTGAGGCCCTTTTATCTTTATTTAGCAATAAATGATGTTCCCTGATTAGGTTCAATGACCGGCCTAAGGTCAATCACACAGTAAATTAAAATAGCCAAAGAAGCCTTCTTCCTACATTCCCAGTCAGTTGCTCAGAGTGACTCATTATACAAAAATACTTAGAAAAACCACAAGAGCAAATCATTTAAAGAACCTAGGGGAAAGAAAATTAAATATAACTACCCTACCGAATACTGAGATGGAGTTTTTAAAAACTTGGTATTGTTTGAAAGTTGCATAAAAAAAAAAAGAACTGTGATGATAAAGAATAAAAAGATTTCCTAGAGAGAGCAGTAGTGTGTCCTTGTGCTAGGGCCAACTGAGTACTGTTTACATACTTTTCTCAAAGCAATGGGTAATTGGGAGGTCCTGAAAGAACCTTCACAGATGTGCTCAGCCTTCTGCCTGGATGCAGAATTGAAGTGAACTACTGCATACAAAGTCAATTTGAGTTCTGGGTCAACCTGGAAGGTTCAGGTTATAAAAGGGCTTGGTACAAAATTTTAAAAATCAGACAATGGTAGAGTATCTTTCTAGATGAAATATAACTGTGGATTTTTAAGAGCACAAAAGACACCAAAATAAGATAACTGGACTTCTAAAATTCTAGTAGGTATTCTGGAATCCTAGAGTTCTCAGTAGGTAGTGAACTCTTCAGCTACTTCTCAGAGACCTCTGAGAGTACAAGGCTGTCCCATCTATATGCATATTTGCCATTGTCTTTTCCTCTGAAATCTTTAAATTATTTTTGTACTGTTTAAGACCTCCAGTACAATGTTGAATATGATTGGGTATCCTTGTTTTGTTTTTTTATTTTAAGGAGAATTATTTCATAATTTTATAATTAAGTACTTTCTGATAGGTAACTGATATCAGGCAAAGAAGACCCCTTGTGTCCGTGTTGCCAAAGTTTCTGTTTCTGTTTAAATCATAAATGGGGGAAATCCCTGAGTTGCTCAGTGGTTTAGCACCTGCCTTCATGGCCCAGGACGTGATCCTGGAGTCCTGGGATCGAATCCCACATCGGGCTCCCTGCATGGAGCCTGCTTCTCCCTCTGCCTGTGTCTCTGCTTCTCTCCGTGTGTGTGTCTCTCATGAATAAATAAATTAAATATTTTTAAATAAATAAATAAATAAAGTTGAATTTTATCAAGTGCTTTTTTTCTGTCCCTACAGAAATTGTATAATTTTCTTCTTTAATCTGTTCATGTAATGAAACAGATTCATAGACCTTCTAATGTTAAACCATCCAGATCTCTTGGGATTAATGATGCAGTATTATTTATTATGCTTTCCTGGCTTGTTTGCTAAGAATTTTACTTAGACTTTTGCATGTATGGTTATAAGTGAGATTTGCCCATAAATGTCCTTTTTGTGTGTGTGCTGACCTTGCCTGATTTTCATATCAAGCTTCTGTTAGCTTTATGATTGAAGTGGGAATGAGTCCATATTATCCTTTGGAACATTTTTATAAGATAGGATTAACTATTAATTGATTATTTGGTAGAACTCACCCATAAAATCATCTGGCCCTGGTGGGCAGTTTTAGTAGGTAAACTTTTTTAACTAGTGAATTAATGTATTTAACAATTATAGGTTTGTTAGGTTTTCTATTTTTATCATAGGTCATTTTGGACAAATTATTTTTTCTAGGAAAGCATCTATTCTGTTCATTTTTAAGTATATTAGTATCAAGTATTTCTTAATGTTCTGTTTTTTTTAATTCCTGCTGTATCTGAAATTTGACCCCTTTTTATTTCTAACATTAAACTTTATCTTTTTTAACATAATTATTTTTGCCAGACCTTTATCTGTTTTCAAAGTAACAGGTTTGACTTTTTTAACACTTTTCTTTGTATATTTTTTCTTTCGTTTTTAAAGATTTTATTTATTTATTTCAGAGAGAGAGAGAACAAGCATGAGCATAGGAGGACCAGAGAGAGAGAAGCATACTCCCTGCTGAGCAGGGAGCCAGATGCAGGGCTCGATCCCAGGACCCTGGGATCATGGCCTGAGCCAAAGGCAGATGCTTAACTGACTGAGCCACCCAAGGGCCCCTTTGTATATTTTTTTCTATTTCAATAATCTCTGCTCTTTTCCTCAGTACTTCCCTCTTTGTATTTTATTTGTGTATTTTGTAGGCTTTTTTTCCCTAACTTCTTAATTTGGATATGTAGTTCATCAATTTTTTGTCCTTTTTCTTGTATATGCAGATAAATTTATATATTTCCCTCTAAGTAATCTTGAGATATAATATTTTCTGTTATTATTAAGTTCTGTTTCTTGACACTTCTGTTTCTATAATCTTCATTATGATTTCTTCTATGAGTCATTTAGAAGTATGTTTTACATTTTTTGGTGCATAGACTTATTGGTTTGTTGTTATTGATTTCTAACTTAATTGTATTGTGGTCAAAGAACACAGTCTAGCACATGACGAATTTTCAAAAATGTTCCATGTGTGTTTGAGAAGAATGTATTGATTTGGGAGTGTGGGGTTCCATGAGAGTCCATTGGATTATGCTTGTTCATTGTATTATTCAGTCTCTATATTTACTATCTTTTTTCATATTAATGAATTCACACCCTCAGCAAATTTGTATTAGGCAGCCATTATGTGTCAGGCACTGCTCCATGTACTGAAATACATTTGTGAATAAAATAAACAAAAAAGATGATACATTTTAGATTATGTTCCAGAGAAGGGTTTTGGCAGGGAGACAGACAAAAGCCATAAAGAATCTCACTTCATCAGAAGGGTAGTAAAAATCTCATTTTGTGACTATGAGCTTGATTATTCTAGTAAATCTGTCAATTTTTGCTTTATATATTTTGAGAATTTTGAGACCAACCTATGTTATTAGAATCTTACAAGTTTAGAATCATTTTATCTTCCTGGTGGTTTTCTGGATATATAAGTAATTTTGGGGCAACCCTCTTTATTCCTAACAGTGTTCTTTGCCTTAAAATTTATTTGTCTGCTCCTAATATAACTATACTACCTTTCTTTTAGTTAATATTTGCTTGGCTTACCTTTTTTACCTTTTTTGCTATCAACTATTTTTTTAAAAAATATTTCTTATGTATTTGAGAGAGAGGAGGGTGGGCAGAGGAGAGAGACAATCTCAAGCAGACTCCCCACTGAGTAGGGAGCCTGACATGGGGCTGGATTTCATGATCCTGAGATGATGAACCAAAAACCAAGAGTCTGATGCTTAACCAACTGAGTCACTGAGAAACCCCAACCATTTTGTTTTTTTATTAAGAAGCATTCTTATATCTCATGCATCTAGATTTATTTGTTTTTAATCTAATGTTCTTTTTCATTTAGCTAGAGAGTTTAGTCCATTAATATCATTATAACTGGTTTATTAAATTTATTTGAACACCTATTTTAGTCAGAATATAGGGGTATAAAGACTTCAAAGTTATGAGATAAAAGAACCATCAATATATAATTTAATATCCAACTGAAGTATTATTCAAAAATGAGAGCAAAATAAAAACATTCTCAGGAAAACAAATACAAAACTTAAGAGTTAAAACCAAGTAGCACCCACTGTAGGGTTCTCTAAGGGATATACTTTAGTGTGAAGGAGAATGAACCAAAATTAAACACTGGAATGCAAGGGAAAAACTGAACAAAGAAACTGACAAAGTAATAAATTTAAACAAACAAACAAACACTGCTTATGTGAACCAATTTGAAAAAGGTGGTAAGGAGTAAGGTGGAATTCAAATGCTGAGTAACAACAATATGGAAATCAGGAAAGTTAGTAGAGTTAAACTGTTTCAAGGTCATTTTGGAAAAGGAGTAGAAAGACTAACTTCAAACTTTAAATAAAAATTGAGGAATCAAAAAGAATAAAAATAAAGCATATAACTACTAAAGTATATAAGGAGAAAATAAATTAATTAGAATTTTTAAAAGTCAGGAGTGA